AATCAGGAGGAATGCTTTCACCCGGCGTGAGAGTGCACACACTCAAACATGTACATCCACATCCATTAAATCAGTGAAGCATGCACACACGCACGCACTTGTACACATACAGAATTGCTTGCTTCCAAGATCTAGAAGCAAGCACCGAAGAAGACAACACACATACCCCCAACCCCAGAGATGCTCTCCATCGTTGCTGTGCCAGCGAGCAGAGCTGAGCTCCACCTGCCTGGGTATTACCATTAATTCCATTGCACAGGCCTGACTGGATCCCCATCCAGCAAAGCCCTCAGCTCAGCTCAGGCAGGCTGGAGACTGGTGAATCGACAGTGGGGCAATTCACACACCATTCTCTCCATTCTGCCACTATCCTATTCTCTCTGATGAGGCAGGAATGAGGAATCATGCCCCTTGAAGCCCATTTATGCAGAGATATTTGGAATGCAGCTGCTCATGCTTCTTTCCAAGATAAGCATTGCTGCTAATGGCTGACCCACAAGGGCATCATTTGGGCCATTTCAAAGGATGGGGGAGCCAGACTGTTAGTGTCATCTATTTTTTTTCTCTTTGTCCTTAACTCTTTAGTGGCACAAAATAATTGGCAAGGCAAAAACATGTTAAAACACTTGAAAAATCTAGAGAATGGAACAAGAGTAGAGATAGGCTTTGAATTAGTTCACTGAGGCACTTTGCATATCCCTTTTTCTGTTTGGGCTGTGTGCACGTCTGCAATGTGTGTATTGAAATGCTGTTGTCAGCCCTTCAGTGGATTTGTACAGTATAACGTCAGATTTTGGGGCTCACACCAAGAACAACAGGCTTCCCCAAAAGACTAAAGGGTTAGACTCTGTTCACTCGAGGAGCAAACCACTGTCTGTGAGTCTTAGGGATGACAGCACCTCTACAGTTTACGCCTCTCATCTCGATCCAGGCCAGCTGTAGGGGGCTTTGGCTAATAGCCTTGTAGACTTCTCGCTGTGTCTTCCCTTTTATTTTACTCAGCCAGCGTCTATCCCCTTCACTCTTTATTCTCTATCCTCAAACACACTGCTCTCTGTCTGCCCTGTTGCCAACATCACATTTAACACACAAACACACCAGCCAGGGAGCAAGAAGTCACCTTCACACAAAGGTCATTCTTCTCATTACATTTACTGTAGCAATGTCAAGATTCATATTCAGAGGCACACACTCACGTACATCTTCTTTTCATATACCCAATGCCGTGTTCAGATTTACTTTATATACATAAGTCATATCTTAGTTGCTCTCAGAAATGTCAAGTATTGTGGAGAACAGTGGAGTCACACACTCCAACTATAAGGTGCTCTTTTCCTGCCCATCCCATCACTCCTTATGATGCGCAGGCTCTGAAAGTCCACTGGCTTAAAATAGCAACAGCTATACAACAGCTTTTTTTTCATGGTCCTCCTTCCACTGTCTTCTGTGAGTCCAAAATAGACAATTTGTTACTGTGTGTTCCTTCATTTTTTCCCCCTCCAAGGCCTAGTCTCACACAGTGCTACTTCATTTGATTCAGTATAAAGGGAATATTAAGCGGACATTCAGTGACATTCAGAATACTGTCAGTGACTTGTACAGCAGCACAAGCTGCTGTATAATTCGGTGTAATTACACTGCCTGTTTTGCAAGGAGCTCCCCAGTTAAACTAAATGCAGTTCTTAAACGTGAACATGGCCTGTAATGGACTTGTCATGAGTGAAGCGTGAAGCTTGGCCTGACAAGAGCACTACAGTAGGGTGCATGTCATGTCCTGCCACATCAGGACATTGTCACCCGTTTCCCCCCACCTCAGACCTCACTGATAGCCGTTGACAGGCACCATGTTTCACCAAGTGTTGACACAGTGAATGCCACGACACTTATCTCCACTCGCCTTTGTCCTGTCCCACTCCGTAGTGTCAAGGCCGCTTCTGGGGGCGCTTAACGTCAGATATTTGACTGACTGTTTTCAATGAAGTGAGAGGCAAAGGACAAAAAGGTGGAAGTACAGGGACGAGAGAAAGAAAATAAGATAGAGGAGGAAGGAATGAGCGCTCCCAGCACTCCTGGTGTGTTTTACTTGGAGCAGCAACACTTAGAGGCTCAGCTCAGGCCTGTGGTTTGCCTCCCACTGACACTCCAATCAGTCCAAGGCCACTGTGATGCACCTATGAAAGGTTGTGCTCCTCGGGTTTAGTCCCCAGCTTTTTACTTTTCAGCTGAACTGAAGTGCAGTGAACTGAAGACCTTTGATTTATTTATTCATTCTTTGGCCATATTTAATTTGTATTCTTTACTGTGATACAATTATTTGCTGTTTGTATAATATGTACAGGGAGTATATGCCACTGTATAATAAATGCTGCATGATCCCACTTGTGTGATTGAGAGAAATGTGAGAAAATATTGTGTTTTAAAAATTATTTTCTCTTCAGCTCACTCTTCATTGCACATCAGCTTTCATCTACATTTCTCTCACGCACATTTTTTGTTCATCTCCAAAACATACATTTTATTTGTCTTTCTATTTTTTATATTCAACTCATTGTGCATGGATTTTTATTGAAAATATACCAGTCAGTGCATTAATGAAACTTTCTCTGTTTCTTTTCTAGCACAGAGCTACTGTGCTGCATTTTTTATGCTATGATTATGTGTGTGTTGATGCAATGATGTGTTTGCCTTGGAGAAGTAGTGAATCAGAAAGCAGCTTTTTCAAGGTAGCCACTTAGTCACCTGTTTCGCCAGATTAGACCGTCCACAGCAGCCGAAAAAACTCTGATCTGATTGGTTAAGAAGAGCTACTCACTTCATTACCTCCACATCATGCCGTGCTGCGGCCCAGATGTGGATGTATCTAGACAGGATTATTATTTCTCGGTGTGGACCAAAAGTCCAAGTGGGATCTGTTGCATGTATATTTTCCTCTGACCGAAATCGCTGTGTCAGTGAGAACTGTATATCACATCTGTGTGACACCTCCCACATCAGATCAAGTCAATAAATAGATTAGAACAAGTGGAGCTTCAATGTCTTGTATCGCTCTCTCAAAGGGATTTAACTGTTGTCATGGAGACCCGATGTGAATCAACAAAAGAGGTGACTGATAACATTGACATGACTAATCTCTTTTTCTTATTTCTGCCCCCTGTTCCTTCTTCGTCTTTGCCATTCTCTTTGTATCTGTGGCCCATTTGTTTAGTAGCTTGTGTAGGATATCGTTTTGCTGTTTTCTCCCTCTCTCCCCCTCTTTTTCCCTCTCTGACTGTATCTTTCATGCTTTCTCACCCCATGCATCCCCTCCTCCTCTTGTCTAAGATAAGTGTGTGCATAGAGAAGTGTCAGCTATAAATCACATTTCACTGTGTAGCCTTCTCAGATACCAGCAAGATAAAGAAAGCCATAAATAAGGCCACATCATATACAAGTTATTGCTTTGCTTTTAAACCTAACGGGGCCATGAATAACCAAGGGAATGAAAGAAAAAACCTGTGAATCAAGGCTTCGCTCTGCTATAGGGGTTGCAGAAAAACCGTGTCCCTACAAAATGCATTTAAGTAGTTGTCCTTGGTGTTGAGCATGCTAATGTGATGGGGTGCATAACGACGAGCAGTGCCTGCAGATGGATGCAGATTGGGCTGTGCAGGATGTGGTCTGCGATTAGCTGTTCTTGAGGATTTTAAATTTTGGCTCTCAGTCACCATAGCAACCAGAATACAATACCACCCTTTTAAATCTGAACCCATTGCTTTCTTTCTTTCTTTTTTCTTTCTTTCTTTTTTATGTTTTTATTCTTGTCTTTCCTTTCTTATTTTCTCCCTTTCTTTCTGTCTTTCTA